TGCAGCTGCTCCAAGCAGGACTATTTCCTGCCAGTACCACACGCCCTAGGACTGCTTTCACCTTCGAGGTACTGGATCATTTTCTCATTGATGCCTTGGAATGCAAGACTTCAGCAATGAGCTTCTTTGAGAAAATCAGACGGCTGACAAATAATGCTTTCCCGGACACTGTCCCAGTGAGTGGAACTGATAATACCATAATTCTAGCTCATACTGAATGCAAAACCCCATCTGTAGGATCGCTATCGAGAACTCATGAGAGTATCTCGACTCTGGCGGGACTTGAAGAACCGTAAATGGTTTGGATTTGGCCATGACAAGGAAGCGCCCCCTAGTGCAGGAGATCTTGCCCTATTTTGCCCTTCATGTCCACAGCCCGGAATCAATATGCCTCTTGTTTGGGAGCAACAGTATGAAAGGCAAGTCAATTCCAAAATCCCTGCCTGCTAGACTCCGGCCAGTACCAGCAGTGCAGTAGCACAGCAGTGGTCCTGGCCGATAATATGTGTCCTGGCCAGTATACACAAATAGTCGGCCGGCACCGACTCTGAGCTGTGTACCAGAGGTACCGGCCAGTCTACACAAATGGTCGGCTGGCACTGGCTCTGAGCTGTGTACCAGAGGTACCGGCCAGGACTCAGCTATCACTCATATAACTAGCTGACTTATATGCGGATGCTGACTTTTGATTGCAGGTGGCTTGTTATGAAAAGATTGGTGGTAGATGGAAATTTTACTGCTCAGCATATGAACATGCGACAGCCTGAGCTTGACGTCTTCCTGTCAGATGGTTTAGGTTATATGGTAACAGACAGAGAATACCAAGCACACTTGACTTCGGCTATAGAGAGTAAAGAGGTGACTCAAATTGTGTTGTATTGTCAGTGGTGGCTAAACCTGTGGAAAGCGATCCTTGTGTAGCAACCATCGGGCAGTCAATGCAGCAAACACAAACAGAAGCAACCTCAGGGCTACAGGGGTTGGTGCCACTGCTTGTGCTCGGCATGGTTGTTTTGTTCCTCACTGCATAGTGGACTTTCAGAAGGGTGAACGGCAAGTTTTCTTTCATTTACTCAATCTAGGCTAAGACAAGCATTGTGCTTGACATGCTGACAAAATCACTTCCAGCCACATGAATATAGATTATTCCATTTGTAATGCCATAAAGCACGCTGCTGGCAACATTGACAACTCCCTGATCATCTATGATGTGGGGTGTCAGTGGAACCTTAACTTTGGTCAACGTGTTGCCAACTGCCCTGGCTTGGCACTCCCAGACAACACCAAGATTGTGGCTGCAGTGGGGAAATTTCACTTGAGCACTCATAAACTTGCCTGTTTTGCTAGATACAGCTTAAACTTCATTCAAGGAGCTGGACAAGTTGATGGGGAAATTCTGGAGACACTTTGGGCTCCCTTTAACAAGATATCTCCCACAGCACATTCTATGAGCCAAGCTCACCGTCAAGAAATTCTTGATGATCACATGCGTAACTCAAATTGGAGAAAACTTGTCAGAATAGGTAAGTGCCTATATTTGGAATGAATGACATCACAGTTTCACAGTGATGCAGTTAAGACGCTCTTGAGAAAGTACAAACGGGCCAACAAGGGCATTGAAGACACTAGGCTGCCGTTTGAAGAGCTTACCAGATCTTTGGATGTCATCAAAGTGAGGGCATGGGAAAAAGATGAGGAGAAGGCAAAGGATGAGCATGGAGAACATCTTGACATCTACCAGCTAAAAATAGATAAAGGTGAGCACTTCGAAGCTTCTATTCAGGTCCATGTGTCGTACATTCTGATTGGGTGATTGGAAGCACCAACAATGGCAGAAATGCGGCTAAAATTAACAGAATCAGAACGTGCTGATACAGGAAAGTTGGGATCAATTTCTTGGCTCATTGATGGCATCAATATAGAGGATTCGCAGTATGTTGTTTCATCATATATTGATGGTGATAACGTATTTCTAACTCATATCTAGGGATGCACTGAGGGTAGCTATTCGGCAGCTTCCCAAAGATGCTTCTGCTGTTCAAAGGGCTGCACTTCAAGAGAAACGACAAAAACTGGCTGCTCGGATTTCTAAATTTCATGAAATTGCTGATGCTATGACAGAGGGCATTGAAGTCCATGCAGGTACTGAGCATGTGGATGACATTAGATTTTGCACCTCAGATGCGGTGGAGGAAGTATGGGAGGCTGCAGATATTGAAGATGTGTTGGAAGAGATGGATGAGGCAGTTCCTGCAGAAGTCATGGCCATTTGGATGCCATCTTCAGTGCCTCGAAATGAGGTTTTAGCCCTGGGCTTGCACACTCTGCAAGCTGAAGAACTGGAGTTACGAAAGGGTCAAGCAAATGATTGCTTGGAAAAGTTGCGACAAGCTCTCGGTCATAAAGCAATAATTTACCGTCAGCATTTCCGAAGTGCAGATTCCACATGGACAGGAACCAGGTCAAAGCAGGAGGCTCTTCAATGCCGTATCAAGATAGAGAAGTGTGTCCGAAGGTATCAAAGGGCTAGGAGTTCAATTCAGAGACTAGGGGCTGATGAAGATACTCTGACGACGATCTATCAAGACATTCAGCTACACCAGCTCAGTGTTGACAAGGAAGTGACTGAAGAGAACAGATATGGGCAGGGATCAGACAGACTGGCTTGGTTTTGGAGAGTCAACAACGGTCATGATTTGAAGGAAGATGTGTGGATGGATGAATGTAAGTCATATCTAATATGTCTATGTTCTGCAAGTGACCTGTATTAGTCTACAGGGTAAATTGGTTGAAAGCTAAGGCTAGATGGCAAAGGTGGGAGGAAGAGTTGAGATTGGTCCAACACAAAATGGGTTGGACAGTGAGTTGGTTTAAATACAGGATGGGAGAATGGGACCAAAGATACCAACAAGCTACAAAGCCTGGTCATCAAGCTTATGCACATCGACAGGTGCTCTTGTGGGGAAGATTTGCATTGGATGCTGAAAATTCATTCAAAGACAAGTTGATTGTAGTCACTTAACAGTCTTGGCTATTATAATATCAAAGACTTATCTAGCCAAAATATGATTGTTATGATGGTCAGGAACCCTGCCTACATCATACTGTAGAGCTGGCCCATTTATACTTGCAGATATTGCAATTTGAATGAACTAGCTCTAAAGGGATAGTACTAAAACCAACATCTTTCTTGATAATACTAGGTTTGTGTCTATCAAAAATCCCATCAATTAGATATGCAGAAGTCTATGTTCAATATATACCTAAGGTATTAGCCTGCCTTCCTGTATAAAGCCTGGACGTGATCCGGCCGACTCTATTATCACTGTCTGAGGTGTCGGCCGGCCTGGCCATACACGACCTGGTCATGATCCGGCCGACTCTATTGTCAATGTCTAAGGGGTCGGCTGGCCTTCCTGTACACAGCCTGGACCTGATCTGGCCGACTCTATTATCACTGTCTGAGATGTCGGCCGGCCAGGCCATACATGACCTAGTTCTGATCCGGCCGACTCTCTTGTCCATGTCTGAGGTGTCGGCCTGCCTTCCTGTACACAGCTTGGACCTGATACAGCCGACTCTATTATCACTGTCTGAGGTGTCGGCCAGCCAGGCCATACATGACCTAGTTCTGATCCGGCCGACTCTATTGTCCACGTCTGAGATGTCGGCCTGCCTTCCTGTACACAGCCTGGACCTGATCCGGCCGACTCTATTATCACTGCCTGAGGTGTCGGCCGGCCAGGCCATACACAGCCTGGACTTGATCTGGCCAACTCTATTATCAATATCTGAGGTGTCGGCCGGCCAGGCCATACACAGCCTGGACCTGATCCGGCCGACTCTATTATCAATACCATCAGGAAACCTACACTTTCCTTATCATTCCTGAATTGTTTTAGATACTTGTGTTTGACCATGATGCTCCAGACCACATAGGACATGAAAAACTTAAATATATTTGTATACTTAGCCTTTCTACTGATACTGACAAACTGGTATAAGTCAAATATCTTGCTGGACTTGAGTGTGTTAGTGCAAGTCTTGGAAAGACTTGGCCAAGTACCATAAGGTTCTTCAACAATGTTAAGTTTTTCTGATGCCTTAAGTTGTTGAACTGCCTGCCTCTACATGACTTGGACTTAGTCAGGCCAACTCTATTTTCCATGTCCTAAGGTGTTGGCTGATACTGATGTGTGTGTATAGGGAGCCTCACTTGAATGGTCGGCCAGTACCAGTCCCACACCTCTGGCCAGCACCAATATACATGTGTAGGCAGTGGTCGGCCAGTACCACTCCCACACCTGTGGTCAGCACCAATGTACATGGATATGCAGTGGTCGGCCAGTACCACATTCACACCTCTGGCCAGCACCAATATACATGTGTAGGCAGTGGTCGGCCAGTACCAGTCCCACACCTCTGGCCAGCACCAATATACATGTGTAGGTAGTGGTCGGCCAGTACTACTCCCACACCTCTGGCCAGCACCAATATACATGTGTAGGCAGTGGTCGGCCAGTACCACTCCCACACCTGTGGTCAGCACCAATGTACATGTATATGTAGTGGTCGGCCAGTACCACCCCTACACCTGTGGTCAGCCTTCACGTATAGGCAGCCCCACTTCAGTGGTTGGCCAGTACCACCTTAACACCCTTGGCCGGCACCAATGTGCATGTATAGGCCGGTGCAGGCTGGTACCCATTCTAGGGCCATTTGGCACATCCGGGGCACCACTTCTACATAGGGCTATGACTGAAGTATGTGGTCACCATAGACACTCCTTATCAACGTGTTATGAAAACCAAAATAGTGCCGATATTTCACAAATGCAGTGGTGAGCATGAGAACTAGAAGTGAATCATCAGAATGAGATATTTGAATTAATCGCCACCTCACCGATCTCGAAGAACATTAAGAGTCCATACCCAAAAGCACTACTACGAGCCCCTTCAAACATGCAAGGCGGGCCAGCTGGATAAAAATGAATATTAAGACTAAGAGGCGAACTTCAAGACCTCGCCTTCTGGGTCGCTGAAATGGATGGGGGCGGCACTTAGGATCACACACGTCACCATGATGGTCTGCACTATATGGGTTAGTGACGCACAAGGAAATAGAGATATCACTGCACCAAGCCAAAGGATAAAAGAATAATAAGATTAGTCTTTTTGTTGCCGGAGAAGGCATGAACCCTGGCAATCAACAGACCTGTCGTGAATGTGAATGCCCGATGTAACATGGTATGCCAAAGCCAACCTTCCGAGGCAATGACGCCCAAGAAATGTAAGCCTGTGAAATGTCATCGTAAAGTCACATCATGAAAGCCATCTGGACCAACCATTTACAGCATCGTTAAAAGGTGCACACTATATTTAAATGTGAGTTGTAGCTGATACTGCACTGATAAAGGGTGTGCTCACATCTTGGGTGCCCCATGTCTTGACAGCGGCTGGTTAATAATCAGCTTTGCATTGTAGTGCACACCACTGTGTCTCACAATACGAGGTCATAAATGCACCAGCAAAAGGTACATATCGTGAAAGTGTGAAGGTAATGCGAATGATTCCCCACTTCCGTCCCCAGGTCCATTGGACCTACAAGAAAATTAGCGGCGAGACATGAATGGCTGATTCTACTGACTTCAGAATGTGACGTGATAAAGTAATCATAAATCTAGCGATGCATGAGAACCGTTATAACGAGACTGAAACGATACAACTTACTAGGATTGCTGATGCAGCGACTTCAGGGTAAAAGAGAGTTGTGAATAATGACAAGCATTGTCATAGGCCAACCTTACCGTTAGTATACTTTGGTAATCAGAGGCATTAGGGGAGTCGGACTGAAAAAGCACAAGTGAAATACCTTGGCTAATTGCAAACCGAAGGTGTCTGAGACTGACATTTTCGAGTGATACAACAGATGAATGGCAGGCTGTTGAAAATAAGTACTGCAGCAGTATGCACTGCAACACCGTGCACCGCTGTGATCGTAGACGGCATGTAGCAACGGTTGTGAGTATGAAGAAACATGAGGCGCTCAAACTGATGGTTATCTGATGATGATGCATAGATGATGATACATTGATGCATGGCACTATGTTGTGGTTGTCGCACTATGCTGTGATTGGAGTACAGCATGCATGACGGTCCAAAACTTGGAGATTGTCGCTGATAGTGGCTTACACCGCACAGAGTGTACAGAAAGTCTAGCTAACATTATGGACAGTCTGGGGGCAAATCTGTGACAAAGTCCGGGGTTATTGTCTGGGTCCGAGTCCGAGTCTGAGGCCCAGTGAAAACCCACTATGGCGTGGCACGATGAGAACGGGCGTGATATGATTTTTTTTCTCACCTATGCAAAAAATCAGAGACAAACATATGACGTCGGTAGGCATCACATATATTGCATGATGGGGCACGATCTCCTCCGACGACATAAGTTTTTCGTTCTATTTTCAGATAAAATCTTATCACACCATATAATGTACTACAGTAGAATGCATGGATTGATATGACGAGAAACGATGTGCTACGACAGCGCGTGATATTAGTAGTACTAGATATTGCGGCAGCATAAAAGCAGGTGCAGGGCGTGCAGCAGCAGCTTAGGGAACTGCACAGGTAAACTCGCGGGTGTGGGCGGTCGTACCCGCACCCGCACCCGCGGTGTGGGTATCAACACAATGGACCCAGGGTATACCTGCGGGTCACTGTGAAGAGCACAGGAAACAACGCGCGCATGATCGACGATAGATGGCGGAAGCTCGGTGTTGAGTGACATGGATGGTAGAGTACGAAAGATGGGGGAACACTAAGCAGAGAGCCAGAAAGTGATGGCCGCGGCACCGTCAGTGTCCGCTAAGAACCTCGGAAGATGAGATCACGCACAATCTAAGAGCATGTTATGGCCAGAGCACTATCAGCGTGGGGTAAGCAGGTCAGAAGACGAGAACACACACAGACTGAGAGCAGGACGCGGCCAGAGCACCATCGTTGTCGGGTGTGCAGGCCAAAAGACAGGAACACGCACTCGCTGTGAGTGGGACGCGGCCAGAACACCATCAGCGTCGAGTACACGCACATACTGTGAGTGGGACGCGGCCAGAACACCATCAGCGTCGAGTACACGATGTAAAAGACGAGATCACGCACTTGCTGAGAGCGGGACACAGTCAGAGCACCATCAGCATCAAGTACGCTGCGTGCAACGTAATACGCACAGACTAAGAGCAGGACGCAGCCAGAGCACTATCAGCGTGGGGTAAGTGGGCCAAAGGACGAGAACACGCACAGACTGGTGACTGAGAGCGGGACGCGGAGTAAGCAGGTCAAAGGATGAGAACACGCACAAACTGCGAGCGGGACGCGGCAAAAGCACCATCAGCGTAAGGTAAGCAGGTCAAGGGATGAGAACACAAGGGATGAGAACACACACAAACTGCGAGCAGGACGCGGCCAGAGCATCATCAGCGTCGAGTACGTAACGTAAAAGACGAGATCACGCACTTGCTGAGAGCGGGATGCAGCCAGAGCACTGGTAAGCAGGCCAAAAGACGAGAACAGAGAGTCCTCTAATGGCTCACAGGACTGGCGGGCACCCATGTGCACTTTTTGAACGCATATACCCACCCTTTCGACTTGTGTTAGTAAAAATCAAATCTGTTTATGAATATTAACAATAACACTTACACCTACGGCCTCAGTGGGAGATGAAAAATCGGCAGTGAGGTCCTGTAAAAACTGAGATCGCGATGATGAAAAAGAGAGAAGACGACATGATTGTAATAGTAAGAAGATAAGTTGACTTGTACTTAGGACGACTCAGATACAATGATGATATCATGTCACGCCGTCACACGTTGCGCGAGAGTGCTATGATGCAATGCACAGCGTGTGCGCGATACGATGCGAAGCCCCGAAAGAACGGAAGAAACGATGCAAAACGTGAAACCGTGATGTAACGATCTAAGGTACGACGCCAAAACGATACGAACAACACAACAAACAACGCAAAGCAATGTGACTACAATTTGTTTTTCATAATCTGCCCTATTTCACCCTATCGACGACATTACAAACAGAAAATAAACAGATCTCATCGTACCACGCCATAGTGGGTTTTCACTGGGTCTGAGGCCTTGAGGGCGTGTCAGCCGCTCGGCTCAATTTGGTCGGAGTTTTCATTGGCTGACACATCACGCATGCGTGCGAAACCAGCAGTAATCGGCTTCCTTGTGTCCTGGACTCGTCTGTAGACTTGTATGCATTTTCCAGGGCGCCTTTGGCCCTTACTACTACGTTTACTCGTGTCATACCGACCTATTTGTCAAGGCAAAAAGAAACTCGCCTCGGTTCAGAAAAAGCACACAATTAAGATCTCGGCCAGACCATACAACATGGCAGCCCTGAGCCATTCCTATTGATCAAAGCACTGATGTCTGCTATCCAAGGCTGAAAAGTGCTAGAAGAAGATGGTGAGGAAGAACTTGAGCAGCGATGTATCATTGCACGGTCATAGCAACACAACGAGTAACAATCGCTTCGAACAAAAGAATCTGTAAGTTGTGCATAACCTCCACCCAGTGCTTGTTTATAACGTCATATGCTCAGTCCGAGTCATTCTTGCTTGTTTCATCGATGACAACTATTTTCGACGACTTATAAGCAGCTCAAGTGTCCATTCTGAGGCGCGCAGGTGAGTCGTGTGGTTGAATCCTGCTTACACAGCGACCACTCACGGCATATATGTCTACACAAATCATCTTATCGCAGCAATCTGCATTTGTTGTGCAAGTTTTTTCTATGGTGCTACATGCACTGACAGACATAGATGCTGTCAAAGCAATAACAATGGCGAGGAAAGAGAAATGCATTTTCTGTGCGAGGTGATATGGAATCTTCTGAGGGGATCTTGAATGATATCTCTGAGAATGGGGGAACACGGAATGATGACGGCCAACTTTTATATCCTGCATATACTTTTGGGCATGACTCTGATCAATTTGGCAGAATTGTTGTTGCTGTCAGGTCCAATGGCAGAAATTTCGGTAGAACCTGCAGGAGCGTATTCAATATTCAATTACGGCCCCTTATATCATAACCTGGATCTCATTGCGTTAGGGGTATAGATCATGAATGCATGATATGTGAGTTCTCCCGCATGAATTACTGATCTGAATCGTCTCTGAATCTCTTTGCAGCGCTCCACTCTTTGCAATTGAAGAATCCACTTATGCTATTTGTGTGCTGCTGCTGATCGTAAAAAAAAAAACTGTTCATTCTGTGACCTGGGCTCATTTCTGCCCACCGCGCACTAGCGGTGTGGTCAGCTGAACGTCCACTCGAAAGGGACCGGGAGCTGTACCATTCATGCAAAACCACATTTAACTCAAACTTATTTATCCACCAATGTGCATGAAATCTGCTCTTCCAGCTTCTTCCAATATTCGTTGACCGTCTCCTTGTACCACCCAAGCCCCCTCAGACGGTGCCTAAGGTGGGGCTTTCAGGGCAAGCCGGGCCTGTACACCACTAAATACGACATCGTTGAGGCGCTGAGCCTGCAACGTGTCGAATGTGGCATTCGTCACGACCTCCCTTTTCCGCCCAGCTGGCCCATCGTCGTCCACTGAAGAAGTTGATGCGTTTGATATTGAACTGGATGTTAACAACAACATGGTGAGTGAGGGTGGTGACGAAGATGGTTGGGACATCTTGCTGCTGTCGTAGATATGGTTTGATTTTTGTTCTATCTACCCATTAATCATTGATGCCATTTGCCTACCTGTTCGCATACTCAGGCCAGGCCGAGCCGTTGTCGAGGGCTTTGGCCCGGCCTGTGATTTCTGAAAGCCTTGGCCGTCTGAAGCCAAGCCGGAACATCACTACCTGCAGGTTCTGCCGAAGTTTCTCCCATGTGACAACAACAATTCCCGAATTTATGATAATCGTGCCCATAAGCATATGTAGGATATAACAACTGGTCGTCATCCTACAATGTTCCCCATCCTCAGAGATACCATTCGAGATCCCCCTCAGAAGATCGCATATCCCCTCGCACAGAAAATGCGTCCCTCCCTCCTCGCCGTTGTTGTTGCTTTGACAGCATCTATGTTTGTCAGCGCATGGTGTGTAGCCGAGGGAAAATCTTGCGCAGGAGACCTTATTTGCTGCAATGGCTGGGTTTGTGCAGATAATGGTGTGAGTATGAGCAGGTCGCTGTGTAACGAGGATTCAACCACACGACTCACTCACTTGGATCCCTTAGGAAGGACAAGTGATCTGCATGACGGGTTGAAAATTGAGCCGGCACCGAGTGGCCCGTCGCGACAGTGAGACATGTTTCTGCTTTTGCTTTATTATCATGGTTGAAGGTGCAAAACCTAGTTCGGAGCCAATCTGTACAGTTGTTAAAAAAATCGTACTGCCCGAGCAATGTGGATGTTTGGATTCATCTGAAAATGATCGAGTGCTAAGCATGAAGGTCATTATTAGTTTGCGTGCCAAGTGGACATAACACCTTGCAGTACGTTGCCTTCTGTGTTTGTCTCTGGTCACACTAACGGCGGTTCAGTAAGCGTTAGCTCTCCAGATGCTGCGACGCGTATACCGAGTCTCGTCCATGTCGTGTCCGTCCCATCGACCCGTATCGTTTTGCATCAAGCTTCTTCACTTAAGCTTCACCTCTGTGTCGCGGCCTTAGGTCGCCTTGAGTCTCAATCAGCGAAGCTAGCCAGAAGCATAAACTGAGTACGTATATCAATATTTAGTGAATATGGTAGTGCAATGGTTGTGTCATGTCCGCTGCAGGCACAGCCGGCAGAAATGAAGCAGCGGCCGCCAGGTCACAGAATGAAACAGTTGTTCTTCACTAGCAACACGCAAATAGCATGAATGGAGAAA